GCAGGAAACACAAAATCAATCAGGGCAGGAGCCAAGGGCGGGAACGGCGGCGCCAGGGAGAGGGACGGGATCTGGGATGGATCCTGGATTTGGGATCAGCACAGGAACAGTGGGATCCTGCCCTGGGATGGATCCTGGATTTGGGATCAGTGTGGAAAACAGTGGGATCCTGCCTTGGGATTTGGGATCAGTACAGGAGCAGCCTGGGATGGATCCTGGATTTGGGATCAGTGTGGAAAACACTGGGATCCTGCCCTGGATGGATTCTGGATTTGGGATCAGTGTGGGGAACAGTGGGATCCTGCCCTGGATGGATCCTGGATTTGGGATCAGTGTGGGGAACAACGGGATCCTGCCCTGGGATGGATCCTGGATTTGGGATCAGTGTGGAAAACACTGGGATCCTGCCCTGGATGGATTCTGGATTTGGGATTGGCACAGGAACAGTGGGATCCTGCCCTGGGATTTGGGATCAGTGTGGGGAACACTGGGATCCTGCCCTGGATGGATCCCGGATTTGGGATCAGCACAGGAACAGCCTGGGATGGATCCTGGATTTGGGATCAGCACAGGGAACAACGGGATCCTGCCCTGGATGGATCCTGGATTTGGGATCAGCACAGGAACAGTGGGATCCTGCCCTGGATGGATCCTGGATTTGGGATCAGCGTATGGGATCCTGCCCTGGGATTTGGGATCAGCACAGGAGCAGCCTGGGATGGATCCTGGATTTGGGATCAGTGTGGAAAACAGTGGGATCCTGCCCGGGGATTTGGGATCAGCACAGGAGCAGCCTGGGATGGATCCTGGGTTTGGGATCAGTGTGGGGAACACTGGGATCCTGCCCTGGGATGGATCCTGGATTTGGGATCGACACAGGGAACAGTGGGATCCTGCCCTGGGATTTGGGATCAGCGTGGGGAACAACAGGATCCTGCCCTGGATGTATTCTGGATTTGGGATCAGCACAGGGAACAGTGGGATCCTGCCCTGGGACTTGGGATCAGCACAGGGAACAATGGGATCCTGCCCTGGGATGGATCCTGGATTTGGGATTGGCACAGGGAACAGTGGGATCCTGCCCTGGGATTTGGGATCAGCACAGGAACAGTGGGATCCTGGATTTGGGATCAGTGTGGGGAACAACGGGATCCTGCCCTGGGATGGATCCTGGATTTGGGATCAGTGTGGAAAACAGTGGGATCCTG